CAGCTGTGTTAAGATGTTAGAACACCAAACTGAAACCTTTTACAAGGAATCGAATCATGTCTGCATTAACCACAATACTTGTGGTCAGAATGCAAACAAAAAACATACTGATAATATATGTAAAAGGTTTCAGTTTGGTGTTTTAACATCTTAACACCTGTTTTGTTACCAGAAAAAAGGGGAAACCCTATTCTCATATTTTGGTACTAGCAAAGGAGGTCCCATGATTGCTGTTCTTCCCCCGTATACAATATTACGTAGGCTATAACTATACCATTTGAATCTTGATTTAACTGTAGGAGAATATAATTTCAGTTGCACCGTATATTTGGTTTGGAGGAACAGTCTCGCAGTGGCATTAATTATGAAAAGATGACACGGTTACAATATTCACATTTAAGTTATTGTGATTCTTGCTTTCATGCACATGTCAGTTAGCTAAACAGCCTGGTGGTGTTCAGTAACAAACACCAGCAGTAGCACGACTAAATTTCACGATAAGTATCTTTCGGAAAACATTTTATTGAGTAACAATGTTTTTTTAGGCATTTATGGTTAATTGTTGGATTGTTTTGAAACTTTTTTCGTTACATATTTTACTTGTTTATCTGTTGATTTGGGGCCGCCTTGTGGCCGACTGGACCCCTATGCGTCGCAATACGCTGCCAAATTCCCCAGCCATATTTGCGCCCTTGGCAGTGAGATATCGCTGCCACATACCCACCCACAATTGCGCCCCTGCTTCTTCCTCTTGTAATAATACGAATACTTTTATTGTTAAAAGCGTCATCCATGCTCATAGCATCCCACAACGCTGTACGTTGATTATATACAAAGGAACCAAATCCCATATAAAGCCAATACCAAGTGAATGAAAACCCGTCTACCAAGCAAAATACAAAATAAATCGATATGAATAAACAAATTAAGAAATTGCACCAAAACAAAAATCACAAACAACAACAGCAACAATAACAACAAGTTCTCACAATAAACAACTGAGTCCACGAGGTCTCAACATCCCAGCCGAGCCAGGGAACGGCCCCAGCTGCAATGGAGCTGTGCCCGCATGATTCACCCCCCCCCCTCATCTCATCTCCACGAGAACGATGGCAGTCGTCGCTCCCACCTCCACACCAGTTTTACATCCTCGTCACTCCTACCGCCCCGCCGTGACACCCTCATCGTCGTCGTCATTGGCGTTCACTCACTAAACTTTGCACTCGTTAACTCAGATCGCTGAGTTTGATCTTCCACCAAGCGCATGGTCCACCCACAATCGCATCCGCTGCACAAATCATGGCCGATGCGGATACCTGATGCACAAATAGAAAATAAATAAATAGAAACTCTCCAGTAGTGGTGCGACTGTGGTCATCCAGAAGAGATCGTACACCAAATAACGACGCAAAGCCCCGACCCACAAATACGAAGGAGAGATCACAGCGATGATGATGATGTTGTTGCTGATGTTGATGATGTTGATGCACGACTCCTGACGCGGTTGTCTGGCTTGACCGCCTTGAATGTGAAGTCGTTGCTCTGCATCCTTCAGTTCCATGTGTTAGGACTTACCCTGTGAGCCATTCGGCTCTTGATTTGGGTGCAACCGCAACAAACAATAAAATTACAACACCTAAAATTCGTTGTACACAAATCTGAACATCACATACGTAGTAAACAATAAAATCCTACAGAAAAAGCACAACCCGTCCATGCTGCGTACAAAAAGTGCAAAAAATGTTATTTCGATGTTTGATCCCAATAACAATCATAATACAATACAGATCAAAATGTTAAGTATAAATCCATACTAAATAAACAAAAAATCGGGCCAAACCAAGCCCCTCTAAAACTGACTAAAACAATGATATATAAACAACGTAACAGTTTTCCCAACAAATGTGATTAAACGTTTACAATAGCGACACACACAACACACACCACTAAACCCAGCGTCCTTCGCGATCTGCATAAGTCAATCCATAACAGCCGGATTAACAATAGCAGTAGCAGCGCACTATATCAGCCGTATGAAACAAAAGAAGATTAACACATTGATAACATACACTCGCATTAACATCACCATCAAACACACTGCCCATCATCAATTCTATTCACCACCATTTACATTGTCACCCATTGCAATTACATCGTCATCATTACGTTCCTATCATTTCATTATTCCTGAACGCCCCGCCCATTCAACTCCTCGCACGCAGAATCACGTTTAATCGTCCCCTGCCACGTGCTATGAATCTCTCCCCACACTCGTGCTCTGTGGTTGGTAATCGTCACTTGGGGCGGGGGGAGGGGTGGGGTAGAGGCGGGGGACAGGGGGAGGAGGCTTCCCATGAGCAGTGAGAAGTTCCAAGCTGACAATATTCAACGTTTACCAATTTCTTTTTGGTAAAGTGCAAAAGTAAATCCAAATCGTGTCCTCGTCACTACGCTCACGGTCTCGAACATTTAACGCTGTAGGGCGCCCACGTCTTCGCAAAATTGCAGCCACTAAAGAGCTTCATCATACCTCTTTGCAATATTAAGTTCACTGCTCTAATGAAACTAAAACCAAACATGCAACGTGTATGAAAGCATTTCCATAAATGTAATCTTAAACCTGCGTTTTTAAAAAGTGCGTTGTTGTTCTTGCACACTGTTGTTGAAAACAAAACTGATGGTGGTTATCAAGGGCGGGCCCCCAACTCGTGGGGGCAAGGCACCCCCTGCCCCCTGCCCTCCACGCTGCTCGTTCCGCTACTGGGCAGTGCTGCATCGGCAGGGGCGAGTGAGGAGTGCGACGTCTGGTGCGGTCTGAGCCCTGTTAGCTCAGCTCAGTTCCCGGGCGCGACTGCTATCTATCGGTGGCGAGTGATAACGTCTCGATCAGACCCTGGGGAGGGAATCCCCCGTCCATCAACCGCGACCGAACATCGTGGCGAAGCGTGGTTGCCACAACTACACGTGACCGGTCACGTGTCGGTTGCCACGACCACACGTGACTGGCACGGCACGCGGACGGCCTCCGTCATCAGGCAATCAATGAATTGACGACACGACAATAAAAAACTCGAGTTGATTACAATTGTTCAATGTTACTCGTTATTCTCACACCGCTGCTAACGCAGTGCCCTCACGTTCGATTACGCACCCTTCGCAGAAGGTGCCAGTAGCGATATTCAAGAACGGCCGGTTTCTGTTTGCGTTCTCTGTAGAAAGTGGGGGGATTGCCCCAAATAAATGTGCGTGGTCACAGCGCAATCTCGTTTCCGGTGCTGGGCCGCTTTGCCATGTGCCCGGAATTTAAATGCCACCCCTCCCCCTCGCAGCCCCCCTCTCCCCTCCCTCTGTGCCCCCCCTCCCCTCCGCGTCTTGTGGGAGTTCAGCAAAACTAATTAGCAGGGTTGCCCCGCAAATCGATCTGTGTTGTGGACGAACGCGTTGAGCGCGTGTCTTGTGTTTGTTATTGTAAGTGCGTGTTTCGTTTGCGCACCATTAGCCAACAACGCAGTAGCAAGCAGCACCACATGGTTGTCAGTGATTGATGTGCGGTATTCAACAAGACGGACAAAGATCCACCCCCCCCCCCCTCCGTATAGCCTTATAATAACAGACTGTTGGGGGAAATGTTGTTAGCGAGCACCTATGAAGGTCGCCGACGCGCCACACGAGGGGGTGGTGTGGACAGAACCAACACGTCCGGCCGCCTTTGTCTTCCCCGCGGCGACCTTTACACCAGCTACTCATTTGAGGCTGAGTCGACCTAGGCTGAGGCCCGAGGACCGAGCACACGCGTCCGACTAAGAGCTCCTGACTCTCCTTCTCGCAGCACCGCGGGCGCGATGGTGTTAGGAGGAGGAGGAGGAAGTAAGGAAGGAATGAGGAATGTTGCCCTCCGTCGAACGAAACGGGACAGAGGCGCCACAAGCGCAATGGGCGCACGGCTCCCCGCTCATTCCCGGGGGATGTGGGAGGAAATGCCGATCTGCCCGAGTCAGAGGCGCTTGGCCAATCCCGGGCAGCAAGGCGAGAGCAATTGTCAAGGCTCTTTTTTTCTTGTTGCATTCGCTGGAGCCTGCTAGGAGCATTGAAGCGCCTCCCTCGAGCTCGATTTGTCGCTCAATCCCTGGGCGTTCGTGGAACCGTGACGACGATGATGGGTGTCGCCGTCGTTGTTGTTGGGAGTTGACGGATGATAAAACTCGGAGACTGAACAGTCGTGTTAGGACGGCAGCACCTTGCAGAGTGGAAGGTAAGGAGAGAGTTTGGGCAACAGTCATTTGCACCAAGAGTGAGTGTTGTTGTTGGTGGCCACCCACCCCCTCGTGTGCTTTCATAGGTGCTCGCTAACAGCACATGCGCCGACAGTCTGTTAAGGCTACACGGGGGATCTTTGTCTTTGTTGTGTGGGGAGCGGCAGTGTGGCGGTGAGCGCGCTGCGCTATGAACCTGGCGACCCGAGTTCGATTCCCGCTCACGGCCAACACCGATGATCATAATTATCGGAACCGTTCCTGGACCTCCCCTAGATCAGCCTAAAATGAGTACCTGGTGCGGTGTGTAAACATCGCCACTAGGGAGACAAAGGCGGCCGGGCGTGTTGCTGGCCACCCATCCCCTCGTGTGCCGTGCCGTCCTTCATAGGTGCTTCAATTCGCTAACGGCACTTGCCCCAACAGTCTGTTAAGGCTACGGGGGGGGGGGGGGGATCTTTGTGGTTACTGCCAGCTCCCCGCGACTCTGGCGTCAACGTCTGCAGGCGTGGGGGACGCCGTGCGGGTTGCCCCGCGGACGGGAGAAAGCCACTTCGTGTGGGCGACCCACGCGCGCTCGCTGCTCTCCAGACTGTTTGTTTGAAATCACTTTGCCAATTTACAACAAACAAAAAAACAGAGGCAGTGAACCCGAAAGACAACAACAACGTACCCAGCGGGCAATCAAGGATCTCTTGCGGATGCGCAGAGGTCCATTTCTGCACGCGCCTTTTGCATGCAATCTCCGCTGTCGGTATGTCGAAGACTGGGTGTGTGTGTCGAGATTTCTATTGTTTTCCCATCTGGATGTCATCTGGTGCGCGTTACGCTGTTTATATCGTGTCAGCGGGTCGTCCACTACAGCACTAGACTTTAAACAAACCTCTGAAGCGTATCGGCAAACGGAGAGAACACAACAGGGTTAGAACACAACACACACAGAGTTAGAACATACAAAGAACACAACACACAGAGTTAGAACACGTTCTGCAGATGCAGATGCCACTGGTTCTTGTTTTGCAGATGTAGATGACACTGGTTCTTAACGTTCTACAGATGTAGATGCCACTGGTTCTTCAGGTTCTATAGATGTAGATGCCACTGGTTCTTCATGTTCTGCAGATGTAGATGCCACTGGTTCTTCATGTTCTATAGATGTAGATGCCACTGGTTCTTCATGTTCTAAAGATGTAGATGCCACTGGTTCTTCATGTTCTGCAGATGTAGATGCCACTGGTTCTTCATGTTCTATAGATGTAGATGCCACTGGTTTGCATGTTCTAAATATGTACATGCCATTGGTTCTTCATGTTCTATAGATGTAGATGCCACTGGTTCTTCATGTTCTGCAGATGTAGATGCCACTGGTTCTTCATGTTCTATAGATGTAGATACCACTGGTTCTTCATGTTCTATAGATGTAGATGCCACTGGTTCTTCATGTTCTATAGATGTAGATGCCACTGGTTCTTCATGTTCTGCAGATGTAGATGCCACTGGTTCTTCATGTTCTAAAGATGTAGATGCCACTGGTTCTTCATGTTCTGCAGATGTAGATGCCACTGGTTCTTCATGTTCTATAGATGTAGATGCCACTGGTTCTTCATGTTCTGCAGATGTAGATGCCACTGGTTCTTCATGTTCTATAGATGTAGATGCCACTGGTTCTTCATGTTCTATAGATGTAGATGCCACTGGTTCTTCATGTTCTGCAGATGTAGATGCCACTGGTTCTTCATGTTCTATAGATGTAGATGCCACTGGTTCTTCATGTTCTATAGATGTAGATGCCACTGGTTCTTCATGTTCTGCAGATGTAGATGCCACTGGTTTTTCATGTTCTATAGATGTAGATGCCACTGGTTCTTCATGTTCTATAGATGTAGATGCCACTGGTTCTTCATGTTCTGCAGATGTAGATGCCACCAGCCGCTGCCTATCTATTGCGCGGCGGATGAACTTACGACTCGCAGTCCGAACGGGCAACTGGACATATGGACAGGTTTGTTCGTATCTCTAACAGTTCGTAAGTCAAATGTTCGCAAGTAGAGGAGTCCCTGTATGGCGGCATGGGTCACCGCGCATTCTCAGTGCTTCTTCTACCAGTGGCCATGCCCCCGAATGTCGATGGATTTTATTCTGCAATCGCTTTTCTCCACCCGAACCTCGCCCCCGCTCAATCGTCTCCGAGTGGTGTCATGAGGAGTGGTCTTCGATCCACAATTAGTTTATTTTGGGATTTTATTGTGCAGGCTTAATGACATCTCTTTGTTTAACTACTATCGCCCTTCGCCACCCGAAATGAACCAATCACATCAAGTTGTAAATTGAAAATTCATTTAAACTAGATTAGAAGCGTTCGTGACTGCAGGAATTACTCTTTGGTTCTTTTGGTAAAGTCACATACAAAGAAATGTATTTAAATAATAATATAATACGACGTTTCGATTGCAATACAAGCCACCATCATCAGGTACAAATGAATGAGAAAACAAGCATAATAAACTTGGAAATATAATGCAATACAACACACAGAGTCGGCCAACACAACAGTCAACACCTCACATAGGTTGATTACATTCTTCCAAAGATTGCAAAATTTGAGAGAGAGACAAAACATAGACACGGAGACACACAGACAGACACACAAGCAGAGAGAGACTCACACAGAGACATACAGAGAGAGACACACATAGGCACACAGAAAGACAACGTCTTTGTGTAGAGAGGGGGGGCGAGGGGGAGTTGTGTGGAATTCCTGCCCATGGGGGGCAGGACGAGCTGGACCCTGGACTTCTACACAAACACGCACGAGGCGTTGTGTGGAATCACTGCCCATAGCGGCCGGAGGCGAGTATGGACTTATAAACAAGTACGGTAGAAAGCAAATTTAGTAAGATTAGGAAGTGTAATGCAACACAGAGAGTCGGTTAGCACACAGTCTGTCCCCTATGGGCAGGAATTCCACACAACTCCCCCTCTGCCCCAGCCCCCCCTCTCTCTCTATTGAAGGCCTCGACACAGAGACGTTGTCTTTCTGTGTGCCTATGTGTGTGTCTCTCTCTGTTTGTCTCTGTGTGAGTCTCTCTCTGCATGTGTGTCTGTCTGTGTGTCTCCGTGTCTGTGTTTAGTCTCTCTCTCAAATTTAGCAACCTTTGGAAGAACATAATTAACCAGGTGGGGTGTTGACTGTTTTGTTGACCGACTCTCTGTGTTGTATTGCATTCTATTTCCAAATTGACTATGTTTGTTTTATCATGAAAATGTATTTCTTTAGAACTCATTTTTGTGTTTTGTTTGTTGTCCCCCCCCACCCCAACACTTTCGATTAGCGCGATTGGCTACGTACGGTGCGAAATGAGTTCAACATTCGTGGACACATACGTCAATTGATTTGGTTTAAAAGCAAAGTATGTTGAAAAGCAAGCATTTTTGTAGGAATTAAATTTCACTGGCAATCACAACCAGCATCGCAAATATTTAAAGAGAAGGCGAATTGTACTTAAAATATTTACCTGGATATAATCCCTTGAGATGGAATATCTCGTTTGAAATGGTGTCGAGTTCCACACACATGCCACGTAACAGCACCACGTGTACAAACATTTTAAAATCTTTAACGTATACAGTGTTCGTGCACACCCGTAAGATCACACCCACATATTGAACACATACCTGACTGCACGTGCCGAGAATAGAACAAGACCGCCGGTTCATGTGGAATGTAACCAAAGCCGCAGCACTTTCAGATGTCGTGGCAGCGCGCGTGCGAGTGTTTTCATTCAATATTTGAACGAGTCGATACCAGGGCACGTTTCAGCGTGTCCACGAGATCGTGCCGTGGTCAAAGCAAGGCAGATAGGCGGACAACGTCTCATTCGTGTGTCCGTCTCTGCACATAACAACGTACAACTTGAAATTTATGACAACCCCATCAAGCCCAACGGTCTGATGGGAGTGCTAACATTTCAGCAGCACTTGACTCAGTTCGAGCAAGTCCCGGGCCGCTTTCGACCCACAAGACACTGCTGGAGAAAATCACAAACTCACCGCGTTCGCCAATAGTACTGTGGCCTTAAAAGTTTAAATATTTAATCTGGAACGTTTTTGGCAATGACCCTTTTTTAAGAGCACACGAATGGGCCACTGCTGGGAATGTCGCCTGCTATATATTTATAACCCCCCCCCCCCCTTTAAAGCAGTGTTATTAAAGCATGTATTGAGATTAGTTGTTATTTGTGCTTTGTTATCTGTGCTTTTGTTATCCGTGCTGTTGTTATCTGTGCTTTGTTATCTGTGTTTTGTTAGCTGTGCTTTGTTATCCGTGCTTTTGTTATCTGTGCTTTGTTACCTGGCCGACCAGCTCTGAACCAATTCCTCAACCACATCAATTCCATACACCCAGCCATCAAATTCACCATGGAGGTGGAAAAGGATGTTTTAATCGAAAAGAGACTAGATGGCTCAATATGACACTCTGTCTACAGGAAAGCCACCCGTACTGATGCCTACCTAAAACCTGACTCCCACCACCATCCATCCCAGAATAATTCCCTCGTCATAACTCTACACCAGCGCTCCCCAACCCCCGGGCCGCAGACCGGTCGGTACCGGTCCACGGCCTGTTAGGAACCGGGCCGCACGGCAGCAGGAGGTGAGAGCGGTGAGTCCGCGCGTGGTGCCCCGCACTTGTATCAGTCACAGGTTTGGTAAGCCCACAAGCTGCTAACCCCTAGTAGCCAAAATGAGTAAAAAAACAAACGTCGCTGGAGAGCTTCTTTGAAAAGGGGGAAAGACCCAATGATGAACCCCCCCCCCCCCCCCCCCCCGGTCCATGAAAGATTTTTATTCCACGAAACCGGTCCTTGGTGCCAAAAAGGTTGGGGACCACTGCTCTGCACCATAGAGCTCGATGTATTTCCGACCGTCATCATCTAGCCAGTGGACTGGAGCACGCACACCACGCCCTCAAGATTAATGGATATTCAGACTACGCAATCCGTAAAGCTATCACCCCAACCGTTGGGAAAGAACCATATGAGAACCCAATTAAAACCATCACCTTGCCATACATAGCAGGGGTCACTATAAATATTTCCAAAATCATGAGCAAACACAAGATTCAGGTTCGATTTAACACAGTACAGACAATTCGTGATCTGATCCCATCTGTGAAGGATGTGATCGCCTGACATGCAATACCCCGGCGTCTACAAACTAAGCTGTGTCTCTGGCAGTAGTTACATTGGGGAAACTAAGCGACATGTCACAGACCGTGTTCGGGAACACAAGGTAGATCTGAAACACGGTAGGACCAATACCTCGGCCGTGGCTGATCATTGTTTGAATGCGGCTGGCTCACACGAAATTGATGTCTCTAAGACGAAGGTACTTCGCAAGCCCCACTGGCTAGCAACAAAGATTCGTTCATGAAGCCATCCAGATATATAAACACAGACACAACTTCAACCGAGAAGATGAGTACAAACTGAGCAATCATTGGAAGGACGTTATCAACCAGTTTAAGTCATAACTGGTTTTGATGTTCCCATCCTACCACCTTCTGATGTGAGTTGTGCTTTGCGCCGATTTCAAACTTGCGCTTTCACAGCGTTCACACCAACACAGTCACTTCGCGTGCCGACCTCTTGGTTGCAGGTCTGCGATCTTCCATTAACATGCTAATCTCTCTTTAACATGCTAATATATCTTTAACATGCTAATTTATCTTTAACATGCTAATCTCTCATTAGC